CTCTATGCAGAGTGGCCGTGCTTGTGGACTTCTGCTCGCCCAGTATGGAAAGTGTCAATTTTGCTATCAGGCCATATATCTATGCCATTCTTCTATTTATTCATCAAAATCTCTTTGGGATGTTTTTTCAGGCTTTACCATCTATGTTTGTGTGCAAGTAGCATGTCTGAATTAGGTTCCTTCCTTTTGTTGCAAATCTGCCACCTCTGAGAAAAGAAATTTTTTGTATTTTTTTTCCTTTTGTTTTTTTCCTGACCTTCTCTAATTCTCAGTGTTTTGCTTTCCTTAAAAGAAAGTTTCTGTGTAAACTGTAGCACTTTCATACGAAGTATACTTGAGCCTGAATGGTAGTGAGAACTTGACTTGAGACAGTTGATTGACTTTGAAGTTGACATACATATGTCTGAGGTAGTAAAACACTGGAGATGGTTAGTTGAACTTGTGTTAATTAATTGCGCTAAAGAAATAAAGTAAACTGTTAGGTTGGTGCATTTGTGTAATTTATATTTAAGTCCAAACAATTGATCAGTAAAGTGATTTTTCATGGACCTCTGAAAGGCTTGTGTCCAGGTTTGACTAATCTCTATATTCTGCAAATGGTATGCATCCAGTATAAAGGTGTGACTGCCCTTTAATAGGAAAAAGATTTCCTCGGTTATCTTTTCTAGTGATTTAAAAAAAATATAAATAAATAATCTAAGCTGTGTGTTAATTTTCAGAAACACCAACTTCATAACTCTACGTTCTACTTCTAATTCTTCACTGTAACTTGTGATTTCTTCTGGTACATGGTTTTCTGTCATTTACATGCGGTGCTATATTTTCTCTCCTAATCTGATGTTTTTCTTTGTTATAAAATCCTGTTACTTCTTTATACTGTTTTTTGGTCTGCTAAATGGCCAATGTGTTCTTTTAGCAGGCTTATTCCTTGAATGGATATTCTGAAAGACACATTGTTCATGTCTAAAAAGGAACTGTGGGGTTGAAGCCCTAGATAAAATTAAAGCCTGAGTATATAAAAAAAAAAATTTGTTAAAATGTCAAGGTAATGAAAAGTCGGAAAATAAATTATGCCCATTATTAATTTTGAATTGTATTCAAACATAGGAATATGTAGCATAGGCAAAAGCTGGTTACAGAGAGATAAAATTCAATTTTACACTAGGATAATTGTTTTATGTATTTTACATTTATTTATAAGATCAGATAAAGGCCTGGAATTCTCAATATAAATCACAGTATGGTCCTGATGAATGCCAAGGTCAGTAAATGAAAACCACTTTACTTGCAGAACACATTACTACTGTGGAAAATACCAACTGAATAAAATTAAACCAACAAGCACATCTTTCCTACTATACATTCTTTACTTGCATTATAATGTTAGAGCTTTGAGTATTTTTGGTTTTCAAAGTAGTGAATGGGTATTAGTGCTCTCAGCAACCTCCCATATATTACCTGTAGCCAAATTAACATGTCTTTGTTAAAAAGAGATTAATGCAAAACGTGCAAGAGATCTCTGGGTAAGAATGGAACTGCTCCTGCAGTTGCACTGAGAGATTAGTTTGGCCCCCTTCAGATGACCTTGTGTGTGCTGGAGATGTAGATGATGGGATCAAAATGCTATGCAGATGATGGAGCCCATGTTTTAAGACTACATTTCTGTAATAAATTGATTTGTATCAGGAGCATCTTCTATCAGGAAAGCTTATTTTATCCAGAATCAGATCTCTGGTATGTCTTGAAGAGAAGAAAATTTAGCTATTTTTCAGGTTTGGCAGGACAATAAAATGGATTCCAGGTCCTCACAGAGAATGTACTGTTGATTTTATCCTGTAAGGAGGTGGCTCAGTCTCAGGTACCTCAACTGCCTGTCTATGTCCCTCTGAACTAAAGGAGGAGACAACCTCTCAGTAACCAAATTGCAAGCCAAAATTTGAAACATGTAGGTAACTAATTGAAGTGACTGCCACTCACCACAAATATTTAATAAGCTGTAACATTCAGTGACAGGTTTTTCTGTATGTAGTGTGCTGGAGCTTTAGAGTCCTAGGGCAATAAGAAATAGATTTCCCAACATGGCATCCACTTCACAGAAGTGTTACTAGACTGACAGATATTTTGTTAAGCTGGACATTTTTCAAAAGTGTTGGCTTCCAAAACATGTCTTGATTAGCTGCCCTTATTATACAGAAGCAGTACATTCTACATCTGTTGCTTGTTACCATGTTCTGTGGGCTCCTGTCAAAGTACCAGCATCACTGAGGTCAGTAATTTGCCACTGTTAAATGCGTTAGATCACATCAGAGAGTAGTGGTGATGAGTAGTGACTCAGCAGCCCTAGTGCGCTGATCTGGTGTCACTGAACAGCTCTTCTTGGTAAGAATTACCTAGATGGTCTTTTGTTTTCTTCAGAAGCTGTAGTTTGTTTGTAAGCTTGTAACTTGTTTTGCTTTAGCAAAGGAAGGGCCACTGTGGCAGAGTCAGGGGATCTGAATCTTTGGTTTGTCCGGTAGGCCTCAAAGTAAAGGGTTCTGCGTACCTAATGGTTTAACAGATACAAAGTACTAGTGTAGCACCTGTAAGCTTCTGCACAGGCAGTAGCTCAGCAGCTTTACTTTGCTGGGCTGGTGATCAGATTGCTGAGGTGCCTCTCATGTGATCAGGCTTTCTTTCCAAATGGCAAAGATCGATTAGACTGCAGTGAGACAGATACAGAAATGCAGTTCCCTGTGAGCATAGATTCACCTTCTGGTTTTTGATACAATGGGATTTCTTTCAGGATCATAATGCAGCCATTCTGATGCGACACAACAGTGAAAGGGCACTAGTGGACCCCATCCACTAATTCATTCATGGTACCCTGACCATGTAAAGGAATGGAGCACCCATAAAGGATTCTTCTGTCATAAATGTTACCGATTAGGGTGCCATAGGATGTATCAAGAGACACTGTTATCGCGGGATGTATAGTCAACCAGTTAAGGGTGTTTTAGTTTTCTGCACTACAGTAGCATAAAAATAGGGTGATATAAATATGCCTGGGAGCAAACTTCAGCTTACTGCTTTATGGACTCAGAATTTGATGGTAGCAAGAATAAACAGTTGTGGGGTGTAACACTTTTTCTCACACTGTACTGAAGGTGACTGCTTTGCAGGTGTACAAGGTAACTCTAATTAAAACAGTTTCCCCTTGAAATGTAATTTTGTTCCTCCTCTTCACTATGCAGTGGTAGACTAATATTTGTCTCCAGAATGTTTTTCCAGGATCTGAAGTGGAATTACAGTATCTGAAGGTTACTAAATATTAGGCAAAAATTATAATTCTCTTCATAGTTTAAAAGTATCTTTCATATTTCAAAACCCCTCCTGGATGTAAAATTCTTTTGGCAAACATTCACTGTCTTGCACTTATGAGAGAAAACTTACTAAAAATAACATATACTGCTATCATACTGAGGTTCCCCTCCAGTTGTATCTGCCTAGTAGCTTGTTTTTTACATAGCATAATATACACTTTCGAGTTTATCTTAAAAGTTACCAAAAATACCCCCACCCAGATACTTTATTGAGAACCCGTCTAGTATTACATATTGCACTTTATTTCCAATAATATAGCCATTCAATCCATTAGGAGAAATCAGGGAAACTAATTGTCTGTACATCTGCAGCTCTTAAAAATTCCACATGTAACACAAAACAACCCGGTGATGGACCTTGGTTTTTTTAAACTGTAAGCCTGTGCAATACACGTGTATGTAAGTGTCACTGTTTACTAATACAGTGATACTGTACATAAAAGCGAAATTTTGTCCCAGTTGCTCTAGAAATTCATTCAGGCTAACATTAAACCCTGGTTATAAAGAAGTATATAAAGATTATCTAACATTATCCAAAATATTTTGAAACAAAACTGTATCTCATCTGATTTTAAAAAATGATGTTCACAGCATGAGTTTGCTAGTTGTAGGGTCTCTGGACTTCTCAAATATCTTGAGAAACAGGTTTTTAGAGAGGTGTCTGTTGCTGGATGTGCGAGAATAGATGTGGGGTTTTTCAACCTGTCCTGAAAGCACTGTGGAAAACCTTTTAAGTACTGAACCACCTTTTCTTCAGATTTAGGGTTTTTTAGTATCTTTGATAAAACCAAAAATAATCTTACACCTCAGTGAAATTCAGTGCGATGAGTAAATTCAACTCACTTAACTTTTTTTTCAGGCAGGAACAGCGTATTCTAATAAGCTAAACTATGGCAAAAACTGCAGCCTTTCCTTCGTAACTCTTTTCCCAAACCAGTCTGCTCAGCAGATGCATGGTGCAACTGAAGAACTGAGTACAATTAAATACTTCCTTTAGATAAGAAGAAAACAGAAGAGGGCTGTGACTTACTGGCATAAATTTTTACAACGGAAAAAATTGATTATATGTTGTGGCTTTAAAGTCTTGAAGAAATGAAAATAATATGAAGACTACTTTGAAGGCAGTGTCAAGGTGGCGTAACTTTATTAGAAAAATTATGCTTTTTCTTCCATTGAAGTCTGAAGATATTAAGATTTGTCTTTGACAGCAAGGAGTCATGAAAGCATATTATGAACGAAGGCACCTTTGCTTTAATGTGTTTTAGGAAATATTCCAGAAGACTTTCTCCCTTCTTTCCTCCCAGTTGGACTGTGAAATAGGAACCTATTTAGGATTTTTTCTAGTGCTATGATTAGGCACAGAAGCTATACTAGTGCACATACCTAACGTTGTCAGGTGCTTCTTCAGCATGAAAGGGAAGGTAAGACTCTGGAGTCTACAACTCTTGCAGCTTCACAATGGCCAGGAATGTCTTCAGAGTTGTTCTGAGTATTTGAACTGTTGTCTAGGTTTTTCCTTTTTTAATTTTGTGGTTTTGCTATAATTCTTTAGCTATACAGTCTTGAATTTATTTATTTATTTATTTATTTATTTATTTACTTACTTATTTATTTATCTATTTATTTATTTATTTAGTGATGCCAAGCAGTGCAATTTGTAGTGCCCAGAACATTGACAAACAACCCTCAGACTGTTCAGCATGATGATGTACAAGAGAAAACTGTCATCAAAATAAGCCTGGGTTTCAGAAGTGCTATGGAAGGATATTTCCTCCATCTAGTAAGTGGATTTAGAGCTCCTTTGCTCTGCCCAGGAATAACTGGTGTGGGGCCATGCTTCAGCTGCTGTCTCATATCTGCAATCTCACATTTCTTCTTTTCACCTCTGGTGTCAAGTGTTTTGGCAATGAAAACATTAATGTAGCTTGATGAATCAAGGAATAATGAAAGCAAGACACCAGAATTTATGATGAGGTTGCAGAAAAGAAGAGAACATCCATCTGTTTCTTTTTACAAAAAACTGACAAGAATAATCTTGCTGAAAGTGGCTAGATAATCCTAGGTCTTGAATTTTTCTAGGAATTTTTTTTTCCCATTTGTCTGTGTAGAAAGAATCTGATTTTAAGGCTCAGAACCCCTAATAAGAACTTTTTCTGTCAGTTCTGTAATCCTCAGCTTCTGTGAACCTCTTTGTAGTTTATGTTCTCAGAGGAATAATTTGTTAAAGCTTCTTCACTGTAAATTACTTCAGTGTTTTTGGCTGAATAATGTGCTTACTAAGTTCAAAATGACCTTTCTTCAAAACCCAGTAAAGAAATGTTTTTTAAAAAGTAAGTCTTTCCATCTTCTTTATTCCCTGTATGTCATCATTTATAATGATATACAAGATTGAGGAATGAGAATGATCTAGTGATTCGATTGCATATTTTTTTTAGAAAGTTGGACTATTTTGTTCCTTGAACAAGAACAGAAGTGGCAGTTCTTTCATTGTGGGCAATCTGGCAGTTCTGCCTGTGCTTAGAGTTGTCATGCCTGTCTCTTTGGAAGACCTTTTTTCTTTCATGTTTTCCATTGTTTACAAACAAACTTTAACATTTTAGATGGAGATTTTTATTTTTTTTTCCACAGTAAGCATTTCCTTCCTACTGGGTGAAGATGACTTTTTTTGGGTAAGTTTCAGGTGAGAGAAGGTTTTGGATATTTTTCAAACTAGGGTTAAAGGATAAATACATTATTTTCCCTGATGTAAACAAAAATATTGCAGCATTTTGATTGGGAAGCTGGTATGTGGTCATGTTTTGCATTGCTTTCTTAAAATTTGGCATGGAGGTTGATACATGTCAGAAATGTCTGTGATAATGTGACTGATGATCTTTAACTTTAGCTGATGATCTTCTTTAACTTTAGCTAATGCCTCTTTTTTCCCTTTTTTTTTCTTTTTTTGTTGTTTGTTTGTAGTTTCTCATTCCAGCTGCCCGCCACTGATTCAGAGTCAATGGCAACTCCCCTTTAATCTTGTACCTTCCTTTGGTGCAAGAACAGGAAGCAGTTCAACAACTCCATGGTGCTGAATGTTTGCAGGTTTAGCTTTTTGATTTTTAGCTTCCATTTACATTCTGGACATTCTCAACATACTTAATTTCACTGACTTGTGTCTGGTTCTCATTGAGTTCTGGACCACCTCAGAATATCTCATTCTTCTTTGATGCTCCAAGACCATTTCTGTCTGTAGCTCTTCAGGTTTCTTTGATATTGCAGTAAATTTCAGGGAAGCATCTGGATTAAGTTTCTAAAAACACTAGCCCGCTAATCATACCTAAATAAGCAACAGCACATGAGAGGGCATGTTATGTATCTTATGTGTTAAGTTGTAAAGCACACAGCCAATGCATAGGTGCTGAAAACACTGTGAAATGTTGTTAGAATATAACAAACATAGAATCATAGAATCGTTTAGGTTAGAAAAGACCTTTAAGATCGTCAGGTCCAACTGTAAACCTAACATTGCCAAGTCTACCACTAAACCATGTCCTTAAGTGCCACATCTACACGTTTTTTAAATACCTCCAGGGATGGTGACACTTCCCTCGGCGGCCTGTTCCAAGCCTTGATAACCCTTCCAGTGAAGAAATTTTTCCAAATAACCAATCTAAACCTCTCTGGTGCAACATGAGGCTGTTTCCTCTTGTCCAGTTGCTTGTTACTTGGGAGAAGAGACTAACATTCACCTCCCTACAACCTCCTTTCAGGTAGTGGTAGAGAGTGATAAGGTCTCCCCTAAGCCTCCTTTTCTCCAGGCTAAACACCCCCAGCTGCTTCTCATAGGACTTGTTCTCTAGACCCTTCACCAGGTTTGTTGGTCTTCTCTGGACACATCCCAAATGTGCCATTCCTCTGTAACTCCCTCCACTTCACTTACAAGGATGAAGTTACCTCATACTCTATGTACTGGATCTCATTGCTAGATTTAAACAAAATCAGAAGTTGAGGAGACACTATGTTTATTGAATCAAAATGTATGTCTGTGTTCACACCTGCACAACACTGTGTTCCAGTGCCCTTACTGCTGAGCAAGCATAGTTTAAGGAGCAGTTATACTTAAAGAATAGTTTTCTCTTCAGATAGTAATCTAAGAAAATGACAGCTTAGTTAATTCTCTTACAAAGAACTAATCTGGCTGATCTGGAGGCAGTGTTGTTTTATTTCTCTGCTCGTTTTAGCTTGTGAAATTTCAGGTGATATGATTCTCTTCAGCAGCTGGAGTGTACACCGTTGAAATTCAGTGGATAAATAATTTGAGGTAGAACCAGTGCACTGGATATGCTGGTTTATGACAGCAGTGGGGGTGCATTTGTGTTTTCATGGTGTGCAAAACAGTCTGACACAAATACATAACTAGTGTGGCTGTATTCCCCTGAGAGAGACTGATGGGCCCCTCTTGGTCCCTGTGCACAGGACTGGGTCTTGAAAGGTTGGCATGTTTGACAGGCCTCTGCATGTTCAGGGTTCATGATAGTTCTTGGTCAGGTTCCAATATCCACACTGTTTGTAGTCTTAATTTTTAGTGCATTTCCTGTCAGGAAAAATAGTGCTGTTTGAAGGTACTTTGAGAAATGTGAGTTGGCTGGATAAATTGAATTTCTCTACTTCCATGTGGTTTGTTGCCTCCTTTTCTTTGCTAAGTCTCTGTTCGATCTGTGGAGGCAGACAAACAATTAAATGCTTTTGGCAGGGGAAATATCATTACTTATTCTAGCGGTTTATGAATCTGGCACTGTTACCTCTTCTCATCTTTATGGGCATATAACGTTCTGTGACTTTATTTTTGCTTTTATGGTAGAATCTAAGCTAGCAACATTTCTGTGATAAAAGAAATTACGACTTGGTGATTTGGGAACCTCAAGATATTGCATATACTGTACAATGAATTTTGCGAACATAAGCACTGTAGACTCAAATGTTTCTTGAATCATTTACGTAGGTAGTTTTGAAGTCTGTAGTCACAGTGACTTTTTCTTAAATTTGGGAGGGAGACGTGTTTTGTGGGTCTTGAGGCAAATACTTTCAGAAAAGCAGGTGAAATATCTGTATCAGTGGTCCAGTTTTGGTTTACTGAAGGATGGTGGACAAACCAGCATTTGACCTAATGTCATATCATCTAGTCGTGTAGCAAACTGGAAAAAATGGGGTGCTGGAGACCAGTAGTGCTCAAAATGTTGTGCTTATGCTGCAATTGCACCATTTCCTCGCAGTTGGCATTCTGCCTGTCTGCCACATCGGTCATCTTTGGTTGTGCCTCACTGCTGGGTTTGGAGTTTTTTTTTCTCTGCTCTACTGTTCTACCCTGTAAAGCAGAAAGCAACCCAGAATTTAATGTATTGTAGGAATGCTAGTTTTGGTGCATTTGTTTTATTGCAGTCCTTAGAATAACAAAATAGGTAGGCAGGAAATGACCTGTGAATATTAACCAGTTCACACCTCTGCTCAGAACAGGGCCATCTCCAAAGTTAGATCAGGTTGCTGTAACCAGGTGAGTTTTGCACATCTCCAGAAATTGAGATTCTGTAACCTCTCTGAGCAACTTATTCCAGTGACCTTCCTCACTGTGAAAAATCTCTTACCCATAACTCCCAGAGTTTTCTTTGTTACAACTTGTCTCCAGAAGAATCCATCTGTCCTCTCTATATTTGCTCACAAAGCAGCGAAAAACACATAAAATCCCTTTAGCCTTCTCTCCTTAAAACCAAGTAACTCAACTCTAGTGAATTCCTCATAAGTCATGTGCTACAGACCCCTAATCATCTTGATTGCTTTCTGCTGGACTTGTTTCAGGATATCCATAAGAGGATCGGACTGGATACAGCACTTCAGATGTGGTCTCACAAGTGCCAGAGGGGATTAATCACTTCCCTTTGTCTGCTGGCTATGATCCTGTCAACAGTGTGTAATATGCAGGTAGCCCTCACTGCCATGTAGTCTTGATTCTACTAAAAAATTCTATTAAATATTCTTTTGGCTCCAGAAAGTTTAAAATATATGTATTTTTCCTTAAAGGGTGTGGAAATCACAGTCTGGTTGCAAACTGTTTAGAAATGGAGATCTGGCTGCATATGTGATTATGTAATAATTGAGTTATAAGACCAGTGAAGTGTTCACAACAAAGATGAAGGATGACTAAATGATATATGGAAGTTGCAACTGCAAATGTCTCATCTTTTTAGGCCAAGACTCAGTACAGTAGAAAAGCCAGGGGTTATTACATGACTCTGCCCTCTAGGAAAATGTTTTTATCAAGCTTCCAGATAATGTAGTTACTTCTATAAATCAAAATCTTGAAGTCTTTATAGCAGTGCAGGAGTTTTAAGTTTGAAGTACTACTTAACACATTCATCCACTTATGGGTTAATCCACTTGCCTATGTTTTATATTCTTTTAAAAATAATATTTTGCATGAACTACTTGTATTTAAAAGCATATAAAAGTAATAGAATGCATAGAATAAGTACTTCTGTAATCAAATATCCAAGTATGTTTTCTTTCACAGCTTTCAAATATCTAACAGATAGGTGTTATTCCACATTTGACAAATATTTAAAGTGGCTATGTTAGTTATAATTTGACTAGTATTTTTATAACTACCCAAAGCTAATTTTAACTTGGTTTGGGTTGTCTTAGATTTCTGATTTGCCATAGATTCTTAAGGTAGAGAGGAAATGTGACTCTTTTGTGGAGGAGTGTGTCATTGCATCAGAACTTGGCATCCATCTGTGCTAAGAAAACTGTTTATTCCCTAGGGAAATGCTTCAAGAAGTTAACTGGTTTTTATGGAGTATACCTTCCTAAATTAAGTTTTTTAGTTTAGCTTGCCCTGCGGCAAAACGTTTCAGGATATTTTAGGAGATCCTGGTAATCTAATTAATCTTATGAAAATAGTGCTAAAATTCTTTCTTTATATCCCCATCCATAAAGAATATGGCATTCCCCTCCCTTGTATAGCTCCATCCCTACACTGTCCGTGGCAACTGTCAGCTGCATCATTAGGGCACAAAGACTGGCTTGGCCCTGTTCCAAGGGGTGGTAGGAACTGGTCTCTTGTTCCACCGGAGCAGGGCAGGCAGAGTAGCCCTCCTTGTAGAAAAACTCTCCCAATACCTGAGGACATTTTGTGGAGAAGAGGTAAATTCAGTTGACACCAGAAAATGTTTGCTTCCTGTCGCAGCAGCAAAGGCCATGATTCAGTAGTTGTCGTCAAAATCTGTCAAGGCAGACCAAGGACCAGGCGTTTTCAGTCATCGGGACTCCATATGGAAGTCTCTCAACAGCCTTTTGGTTTCTGGGGAGGGGGAGTCAAGAAGATAGACTTCCTGATCTCCTGCCCAGGGAGGGCAGGCTGTCGCTAATCTAAATGCCTTGGGTCAATATCACTGTTCAGATGGTTGAAAGCTGGTGTTATTGTGGGGTGCTTCCTTGTATATTCTGCAGACGCTCCAGAGGTTTTTTTCCTCTGAAAGTGGAAATACCACCACATCTGTAATAAAAGCTATTCAGAACTGCACAAGTAAATCACCATATGCTTCCTACTTTGCAGGTGTATGTTGGTTTTATATACTTGGTTTTATTCAGTTTCTGTTAAGTGTTTGTCTTGATGAGTAATTAGAACCGGGATTGGAATGCCATCCTTTTAAATAAGACATTATTTTGTTTAGTTGGGGTTTTTTGTTTGTTTGGTTGTTTTTTTCTCCTGAAATCCATTCATATTTCAAGGTACTGGAAGGCAAAATATTTTGATGGCCATCTTTGCAGAATATATACCTGACTGAATGAAGAAGCAGTAATTCTAATAGTTGACACTATATTAAAAAAAAAAAAAAGTGAAGACAGCGCAGTGAGCTTAGTTTTTCTTTTTTTTTTCTGTCACAGATGTAAATAATTAAAACATGTAAGTGTGAAAAGAAGTTGACAGTTTGAAACTGCATCAGTCTTGTAGGGTAGTGTTCAAATTTTCTGTGTGCTTCAATTTGACATTCTTTAGAAAAAGGTTGGTTTTGCTGAAGTATAAACCAATTAAAAGTTAATGCTGTTTTTCACTGGGCACCCATGCTAAACTAGAATGTTCATGTATTTCACATGTATGCTTATGTAATTAAGCATCCACTAATTTATTTCTATTTGGGAAATACTTCTGTGAATCAGCACTCCATATATAAAGAGTTAAGATCATATCATCTGTTGTTTAAGGTAAGGATAAGGACATTATTATTATTATTATTATCATTTTATAATAGATTCTTAATCCTTTGTTCTGTGAAGTGTTGATGTTTTCATTAGAGTTAAAATATGTTTCATGTTTACAGAAAGTCTGAAATCTCAATATGTGGTCCTATCAGTTTTAATTATTTGAATCATTAGAACATCTAATTTTTTGCTTAAGGGTACATGAATGTACTATTGAATCTGTTTTTTAAGGTTTTTTCGAGTTTAATGTCTGAATCCAAATTCATAAAGAGTTGGAAAAATGAGATGTCTGAGCTATAGGATTCACAGGGATTTTATATGAAGCCTATTTAATCAGGATAACACTGTTATTAATATTCATAAAGTCAGCTGGAACACAAATGACAGACTATGGAGGCTAAAATTTTTTACTTGTGAATTTATTAAAAGCAGCTTAAAAAATTAATGGAATTTAAGTAAAGTTGACGAAAATGAAAATCTTATGTTAGCAGAAAAAAATCTTTATTAGAACTTTCTCTAAGACCATCTTGCATTGATATCTTTGACAGATTTCATTGGTACTTAAAGAAGAAGAATGCATGAATGGTCATTTAAAAGGATTTAAACACATTGGCACATTAATTTTTACATGAATAATAAGTAGTTTCCAAAAGCAATTAACTTACAGTGTACAAGATTTGAATAGAAAAATAGGACTGTGACATCAAAGGGCAAAGCAAATGTGCTGTACATTTTAAACTTTTAATATTATGACTTCTTAAAATAATTTCTTTCATTTCCATGGTAGATAAAGTAACAGTGAAGGTATTTATGTACATCTCAGGTTTGTTCTGAAATACACTAAGATCTGGAACAAAGAAATATTTTGATACCAAAGTGCTATTGGTAAAGAACAATTTCAGGCTTTTACAGTGATCAAGTGCTTTTGAATCAAGCTTTCTTACAGTCAGTTTCTCTGTGGATCATAGTCATATACTGACCACAGCATATGATTTTCTCCTATGCCGCTATATGCAGCACTGGGAAGCATTTGTTATTTCTGTAGAGGGCAAAACAGGTAGATCTGGACTTTCTTCCATTAGTAGGAAGATGCTAGTTAATTTATATTCATATTTGTAGGCAGTTTTGTACTTAAATATTTAGTGTGAATTTTTTGTGACTACTGTATATTATATTCAACAGATAAGGACTTTTTTTTTTTTAGCTTTCTTCACATGATGTTCACGTAGTAGTCTTAATAGTAACGCAGGTTGAATAAACAGATAGTCAATAAGAAAATTAGCTCTAGATTTAAAATTAACTCTAGATTTTGGATTAGAGTTTCATTTTGTATTTTCAGTTTTGTCTCTATCTACCAGTATATTTTAATCTCCAGCTTTAATTTATTTTGTTAATTAGACAGATTGTTTATTAACAGATTGTCTTCAAAAGGAAGAAAAGAAAAGCTTTAAAATAATTGTATTTAATTTTTCTGATGATTCGTTCTGGGTAAATCTTTATGGCTGGCTTCTGATTGTTTTTGAGGTGGTGCAGTTTGGCACTGTCTGAATAATGATGGCTCAGTAAGTTTTGGTTCTAAAATTACATTATGTTCGAAGTACCTACTGGAAAGGTACATCTTGAATGATATTTAAGTGTTGTGCATAAGTTAGATACCTATTGCAGTACTTGTGTTCAGAACAACAATTTTCCATACTTAGTGTATGGAATGTTTTGTTTTATTTATTAACATTTTTGTTTCTAGTAATAGGGAAAGTATACTGGAAACCTTGGGGAGCCTCAAAAGATCTTTCTGTTTGACTTAGATCGATAGGTTGCCTTAATCTGATATCCACAATGTTTTTATTTTCTGTAAGTGTAAACCAGAAAATTCCTATTGATTAGCAGAACATATTTCACCTGTGAAGACGAAGTCTGTAAAATGAGCCTCTTGACTCGTCTCCAATTATTCCTGTGCCATAGTCTATTATTTCCAGGAGAGGGCAGCATTTTCCTACATCAGGTACATGAAGGCACATGCCCTGCTTAGACTGTCAATGTTTCTTGTAATTACTCCCAGTATATTTGTTGCTTGCTTATGAATTAACTTGCATTTATGGAACTAAATCATTCCAATCATTTAATTACACCTGAGGAGCTGAACTATAATTGCTTGCTTCCAACTAGGATCTGATATGGCTTGAGCAGTATTAATTTGGTGTTTACTTTTCTGAGTGCTAAAAGCATTAAAATGATTGTGCAATGGGATTACATTTTACTAATTGCTGGCATTCATTAGCTGGGTAAATGGCGAGGAAGAATGACTGTATATTGTGGAGGGATAAAATTATGGTTTTAAATAGTATATTACTAGGCACATTAAGGCCCTAAGACATGTTTTAAAATACTCCAGAGGTTATTAAATACCGTATTTTCTTCATGTCTTGCTATATGAATCTCTTATTAAAATACTGCAGTTATTATGAACCTTTTTGTGCAATATGTAGGGAAATGGCTTCATTGACAGAAACCTATTTCTTGATATTAATAACCTTCTATATTTTCAGCTAATCCAAAAGTAAATGAGGAACTTAGGAAAAGATTTCCAACTCCAAATCAACACAGTTACATGGAATTGAAAAAGAATCGTACAGCTTCATTTGAGGGATTCTTTTAAGGATCTCAGTGTTCTGCAATATGAGGTGAAGTTTTTATTTTTTGTTAAGACCTAAGCACATCAAATCTTATACACATTTTTTATCATGCACATTTATAGTTAAAAACAAATCTGAGCTAAATGTGTTTTTCTTGAATGCTTAATGTAAATGTTAGTATTGAATCTCATGTCTATACAATTATTATACTTTTTTTATAATCTCAGAGATAAAAATAAAAACATCTGCTTTTGATGCTGTATAGGAAAATAATTTCTTCTGATGCTTTATTAGTTAGAAGATATGTCTTGATATAATATACTTGAATTTTAAAAGTGTACTTGATTTTTTTAAATTTTCATTTTAACTCTTACATTTATCAGCACAATGACAATGCTCTGAGTTTTTTCATGATCCAGCTACTGCCTTGTCAAAGCACAACTACATAGTTTAAGATGAAAAATTGTCCTTTGTACAATATATTTTAAGAGGTGCTTGAGTAAGTAATAAAATTTGTGATAAGCTTACTATATTAGTAAGATTACAAATTTATTGAGATTTTCTTGAGATATAGAATATAGTTGAATTTTTAACGTATAAGAGAACTTATATTTTTACACTCAGAATGTTACCTGATAAGCATAACATTTTACTCTAGGTCTTGAGTATTGAGGGATTTTGTTTGATGATCTTTGATGATATGAAATACTGCAACTGTTTAATTAAATCTATAGTCTGAAGCAATATGTATGCAAATATTAGGATGGATTATTTAGCTGTTTAAAAAAACCTGCAAATTCAAAATTGGAGTGTTCATGGGCCATTTTACCTGTATTTTATCCAGGAAATTAAAGGAGGAGAAAGAATGTTGCAAAGTGAAGCACATACCACCATCTGGAGTAATTACCGAAGTGTGCAGTCTCATTGCCTCTAGTGGGACCACTCAGTGTGATTTGTGCTGTGCTCGGTAGCATGTACTTCCAAGACCAGACTCTAGAACAAGAAGACAAACTAATGAATTTTTCAGCAAAGGAGTTAGGTACAACAGAAAGCTGAACCGAACCATTATAAAAATTAGATATGCGAAGAAAAAATATTTTACTGAGAAATATAATTTAGCTGATTGTTAGAGTACACAGACTTTTTTTGTCCTGTTTTAAATATTTTTACATCATTTGTCTTCTAAATTTTCTGTCAAATGAAGGCAAAGTATAGGTGTATTGGTATATATTGTATCAAGTTTATTTATCTAAAGTTTGCTTTATTTTAGCTCTGAAATCTTCAAGCAAAAACTGGACTCAGTGCCAGATCAAACAAGTTCAGAAGAACAAATGGAGAACTGGTCAAAAGGTAAAGACTTTTAAGATATTAATAAGGAACCTCAGGTGTTGTACCAGTACTAGGCAGTGACTGGAATGTATTTATTCTTGCCGATATCTGACTGACTTTGGAAGAAAAAAAAAAAAAAAAAAAGAACCACAACCACATACTTCCTCTTAAAAGTATTTGGGGTAGTAGGAGAGCAGCTACAGGAATGTAAATCATCAGCTTTATTTTTATTTTCCAGATTAATGAAAATAGTTTTTGTATAACTTTCAGAAGTCTTATTTCAATTCTTAGTTTATACATTTCACTTCACTTTCCAAACTTTTTTTTCTTAATGGGTTGACAGCAAATCTGAAGTATGTCTTAAAGTAACTTTCTTGGCTATTCATGCCTGGCTACAATATGATTAAGCCATCTACTAATATTAACAAGTTTCTCAGTATTGCCTCCACTGGATATAGACAGTAAGGTAGGATTGGAAGTAAAGGGGGCCTTGGTTAACTTGGAACTTCCATAGTTCATGGAGTTTTCATCTCCATCAGGATGGAAGGATCTTTTTGTATTTGGATGACCAAAATTTTGTTCTCAGATATATTCATCTATACTTGATGGCAGAAACTTTTTAAAAAAAAAAAAAAAAAAGAAAAAGAAAAAAAAAAGAAGAGCACTGAGGCACTGAGTTTGAAACTGAGGCACTGAGTTCGAAAGCACATTATGTGACTGACTTTCAAAAGAGAATTGTCAAAGTGGCTTGTGGCTAGATAATACTGTGTAGATTGAAGAAAAGGAGAGACCTGGGAAGGAGGCCTTCAGTACACCACAAAAGGGTTCCAGTAAGTGGCTAAGTGTAGGTTAAAAAAAAGTAGATGTGTGAACATCAAAGGTGCCTCCTATATCAGAGCCTGATAGTATCTCATACAGTTCCTTTTTTTGAATTTCATACTATATATTCTTTCTAAAAGATAATGTCTAGTTTCTCATGAACAGTCTGTTGTTTAGAAGAAAGAAGAAATGATCACATCTTGGAGATGATTAATTTCTTACGTATGTAAAATAATTTGTATCAGTATTATTGTGTAAAATAAACTACTTGTAGACCCCTTCTAATTCATGGAATTCTGAGCTATTACTGAGTGAAGTTAAAAATGTTTTTGAATCATATACTCTGAAAACGAAAATAGTCATGGTGGAGTAACTTAGTGGAGATTGTATTCTGAGAATTTATACTTTAAATGTGTAATGGCTTAATCAGATTTAGTATTTTTAGACCTTTAGGGGTCAGCATACCCTAAGAATGGTTCAAAAGGTTAACTTTTCCAAAGTAGGCAAGTGAATACAATAAACTGATCCTCTGTGAAATATTTTCTGTCTAATTGCAAGAAATGGCATTCTGTTGCTGCTCACCGATACTTTAAAAATTGAGTAGTTAGTTTCATGTGTATTATTTTTCTGATGCATTAAGTTAATATTTTGTGCTGTTTAGAAAGCTGTTTCTTCCAAGCTAACACTTATGTATTACTGTATCCGATAGAATTTATATAGACAAAAGTAAAATTGATACACTTTTGTTTAGATCAGTCATTAATAAGTCACATAATTCTTTATGCTTTTACTCCTAGTTAAAAAAAAAAGGGATTATAGGTAAGTCTCATGTCATCATACTTGTTTGGATGGGGAAATTTTGTTTAAAAAAATTTATTTGGGTATTAACAATTAAATTTCCTTATCATAAAGATGATAGATAAATTACAGCAACATAATATTCGATATGTACCCTTGGTAGACATTCTGGTGCATTTTTTCACTGAATTACTAGATCAAAGCAACTTTTAATCTGTTTAAATGTCTGTGAAGTGTGTACCATTCTGTGTTCTGCTTGTTTTGTCATCTGTGGTATCTTTCCTCTTTGCAGCTGGTACTGTACTGTATCTAGTTGTTCCTTGCTTGTAACTTGGAAGTTTAAAAGCTGGTTTTTGAATAACCCTATAATGATTTATTCTTTTTTTTTTTAATAACATACTGAAATGTTGGATTAAATTATTTGTCAAAAAATAAGTACAGTAAAGCATGTCTGAGACAAAATTCAGCTGACTAAATGAAAATCCTATCAAGCAATGAGAATTTTAAAAAAACAGCAAAAAATGTTAGGTACAGAGAAGTTATAGGTTTATGGTGGCTATGTGGGATAATATGTAACCTGTTAATAGATGTTATAAACTAAAATACTTGAAAGAAAGGTAGTGTTTAAGAAGAGTATATCTGAAGTGTTTGATAGCTGAGATTTTCTTTTTAACTTTCCATGTTGTTTGGAGTATAATATGCCTGTGTGGATTGAAAACATTCGTCTGTCTCTTCTGGTATATTAGGAAGAGTTAAAAAACAGTTTATATGCAAGGCTTATTCTTTTGACTTTGTGTCTAATTTAAATGTACCATTTATCTCCACAGCACCTAGTTTTTAATAGGAGGATAGTGACTTACTTTAATTTCTCTGTAAGAATACTTGAGAGAATGTATCGGGACCATTGGCAGCAGGCCAGTGAATACTGTGTAATTTCCAAAAGAAAAATATTCAGGATCCAAGCAAGAAAGCCTAGGATGGTAGTCCATTATAAAAATAAACTTATACTGGCAAATAGGTGCATATCTTTGCATTGCAGTGACTGGGAGGGAGTGGGGAAGAACATTGCTCCTGGGTGGAGTTGGTGCTTTAGCAGGGTTTACATGCATGATGAAAACTGCACAAATGTTAATACTGTGGAAACACAAGAGGGAACCTGAAAGTGGTGCTTTTCATACTTACATATGCCTTCAGGACTCAATGCGTCAATTTTCCAAAGAGTTAGCAGGATAGGAAAGTGGTGAATGTGCAAATACTGGAGTTAAATTTGTGTCTCATTTGACTCATATCATGTAGTCTGTTTGAATGGGTGCAGTTATACTTGTTCTGTATTATAGTCTTTCACTATAATAATGTTTTTGCTTGTGTCATATTTCTGAGCATCTACAATTCTTAAGGACAGGGCAAAAAATAGGTGAAGTCTTAGAATATCGAGTACTGTTTGATCTGTCTTGACAACAAAAGGTAATAGATTGATTATTTTTAATGACATGGTTTGCTTTGTTAAAAGGTTTTATATTTTTCAAGCATAGAAATAAATAAATATATTTTTCTAAACCACTACTTAAAGCACATCATGAAAGGTAAATCAATGAACCAATTTCACTTGTAAGAATTTGATGTCAACTCTTAGTTATGATCCATATAGACACTTTCACTGTAACTTGTTATCCTTCAAAAGGATGTTTGTGCTGCTTATAAAAATACTTTTTAAATTGCGTGTCTGGAAGCTGTAGTTTACAGGAGACTCTGGCTTTAAAGAGTCTTTAAAGAGATGTGATAATGTAGATTGGAACAGAACTTCAGAATCAGCTTGTGCAGGGAAATTTGAAAAGTAAGTGTTTTATGTGGTGGTGAGCTGTTGATTTCTAGTCTTGTTCCCTTAATGAAAAATAGAGGAGCAAAACAGATATGCAAACCTAGTTAACAAGTTATATATATATATAGCTGCTCAGACACACATGCAAGAGGTAAGCATATGCATAGACAATTGTCTTAATTGCATTGAGTGTTTGTGCCTATATTGGTCTTGCGTGAATGCATGGTGCTTAATGTTAAGAATCTGGCCATAGCTTTCTTTGTATCATATGGTCATGATGTGTATATGCCAGTGTATTGCTTACAAATACATTTTTTAGATCTTTTGCTGTGTGGTGAAAAATATCCAGGAAATAAAACTACTCTAGAAATATTTTTTCATTATTTCCTCCCGTTTATAAGGGAATGTATTTATAAGGCAATGTACAGTCATATGCAGAAGTTAAGTAAAATGAATCATATTTTTTTTGGTACCTTCCTGGAAATGAAACTCTATTCTTAACCATCTATTTGTAGACTTATTAGAAGTAATAAGTTTTTCTACTTGTGTAATGATTTTAATGTACTTTTTTTGTGGGTTTGGTTTTGTAATAGCAATTAGAAGGACTTTTGGTCTGGAATTACTGTTATGTGACTTCAACACACACACGCTAACAAACATACACACTAACGTGAAGGGGTAAAGAAAGCTTTGAGAGTATTGTGGTTTTGTAAAGATTTTTCATCTGATGCTCTACTTGGGTCAAAAAGCAACTAATTGTAAAAGTGCTGCTTCCCCTTTCTCCAGAATACACCCGTTACATCTGTAAACACTCTGAAGTAAATCTGAAGCTCTTCTTTCAAGGCTGTAGTAGAGGAAGAATAAACCATGCTTGTCTTATTGAAGTTTGTTTCTTTTTTTACATGCCTCAACAGGAGATACTGTGAGCCTGTTCTTCCTCTTCTTCTCTCTTTTAGCAATAAGGAGTGCTGTTTACCTGGGATGGAAAGATGACCTGGATATTGCATGGGGGTGTATGCAGAAGAATCTGCATGATATTCAAAGAGGCAGAGTCCTCTTCATGCACGTGGCTCAATTGTTTAGTGTCTACCGTGTGTTCTGTGCTTTCTGAATCAAACTTGCTGTGTGCTAGCTGTCAAAGATCCCCTTGCAAAGTAGCGAGGGTAGTTTCAGGTTTCTCTGCACAGTGTAGGAGGCAGAAGAGAGGTTGAGAAGATGATCTTGCATGAGTCAAACAGGAAGAGTGGCTAGTAACTGTTGAGCAACACAAAGTATGGAAGACAAAGAAAACATCTTGCAATGGAAAAAGAGGGAATAGCATGCATGACATAGAAGACAAAAATGAGCTAATGATAACTGAAACCATCAAATACTGGCTGGTCTTTCTTGTAAATATAATCACCCTTTCTTGTGTATAAGTTTTCATCTCCTTTTTCTATCCCATTTATTTCCTTGTACATTTTAAACGGTTAAATACAGTGCATTTCTAGCCAGCTGCATGTAGAAATACTCCTCATCAGAAGCACAATTAAGTATCTAGTATCTGCCCGACTCACTGGAGTGTGTGAATATGATTTTGTTAGAC